TGGGGCAGTGAACAAACAGACCCAAAGGCCTTGATCTCATGGAGCTTTCACTCTACAAGGAAAGACCAGGAGACAGACTTGGTAAGCAAGTAAAATACATGCAATAGTGATGGTTGTTAAGTTGAAAAAAAGCAAGGAGAGAAGATACAGAATGTTCCAGGAAGAGGTGATGTGAGGGAAGAGAACTCCAGGGAGAGGGAATGGCAAGCTGGGGACCTTGGAAGGCTGGCTGGAGCTGTCAGGGCAGCAGGGAGGCATGTGGCTGGAGCAGACGAGAACTTACGAGGGGTTCCCATTTTGACTGCATTTCTGTGTAAATTCAGACGATGCGTGCAAGGGGTCTCTTGTATTAATGACTGCTTCTTTCCAGCAGGAGGAACTTTAAAAGCAGACTGTTGGCCAGTCCATGGTAGGCCAGAACGCTCTCTGTGAAAGAAACTTTCATTCTGGGTTGATGTCACTTTAGAGGAGTCTAGACTCAGAAAAGAGGATAGGAAATCCCCTAAGAAATCAGAATATAACAGGACATAACAGAACTTCAGAGGCTGAGACAGGCCTGGGACACTCTAGATGGATCTATCTAGATATCCAGATATTTATGTTTATCTTCAGAAATATAGGTAGATACAGATCTAGTATCTATATAAAAATGGTACAATATCCATATGGAATCTCTCTGTGTATAGTATCTATATAGATATTTATATATATGGATTTACAGATACATAATTTTTAAAGTACATATATGAAAAATTCTAGTATATATATTTTCCAGAATGTATTTAAATGTATAAAATTTTTCAGTATGTATTTTTTTCAGGGTTTCAGACATTGTAGTATGTTTCAACTGCTTGCTTATAACAAACTGACTCTTAAAAGACATAGTATTCACCCATGCAAATAACTGTGCTATTTATAAGATAATGACAGGGTATGCTGGTTACCTAGAGCTACCATAACAAAATACCTCAAACTGGGTGCCTTAGAACAACAGAAATGTGTTCTTTTACAGTTCTGGAGGTCTGAAATCAAGATGTGGGCACAGCCATGCTCTCTGAAGCCTCCAGGAGAGAATTTGTCCTAAGCTTTTCTCTTAGCTCTGATATTGCTGGCAATATTTGGCCTTCCTCAGCTTGTCGTGCATCTCCCAATGTCTTCCTCTGACATCACAGAGAATTCTCTCTAGGTCCTCAAATGCTCCTTCCTTTGTGTGTCTGCATCCCAATCTCCTCTTCTGATAAGGATACCAGCCATATTGCATGAGGACCCACCCAGGGACGGCATCTTACCTTGATCACATCTGCAAAGACTATTCCCAAATGTGGTCACATTCACAGGTATGGGGATTAGCACTTCAAAGTCTCTTTCTGGGGGATCCATACCACAGGGTTTATAGAAGATATATAAACCCATAGTATGTAGTGGCAGAATGGTTCAGAACCGGGGCATAAGCTTCAAGTTGTGTGATGTCTGTTCTATCTATCCTGACAGCGTGTCTGAGGACTGCCTGGGTGTGTACCCCACTTGGATGGAGGCTGGGGAAGCAGGCTGACCCGGGTGTCTTCCTGCATTACCCTCTGTCTCATGGAATAGTCCCTACACTAGTGACTGCATGTCATTCAAACCCAACACCAATTCAGGTGCATTTTAGCTTTTTTCCCCACTAACACAATGCGGCAGTTAATATCCTAAGGCATGTATTATCTGCATCCCGGGGCCTTGATTGTTGCAGCACTTTAGATTCCTCAAGAGGAATTGCTAGGTCAACGGGGTATGTATCTTCCATTTCTATCTTCCTGGAAGTTGGGAAAATAGTGTTGCACTGTAGTTTTAATTGGCTTTTCCTGGTTACCACGGTTGTGTGTTATCTTTTCATCCCATGTATGACATTTCAACTTAGAGCTTGAAGGTGGCCCCTCGGAGTGATGTGATTACAGTACTTGCAGGATTTTTCTTCTGGATAATATTGTCATGATCTGTGTAGTACTTTATCTTGTTTCCTTTCCATTTACATAAATGAATTCATTAAATAATTCTCTGAAAAATAAGCCAAGAGTATGTGCAGTGGACAGACTAATGGCCCCAAAGATGCACACTCTAGTTCCAGGAATCTGTGATGCTGGAACCTCTGTAGCAACAGGGATTTGCAGATGAGATTAAGGGTGTGGGTGTGGGCTTTGAAATAGGGAAACTTCCCAGGTGGGCCAAGTCTAATCACATGAGTCCCACAAAGTGGAGAACTGGTTGTGGTGAGTCAAAAGTGTGACGATGGAGGAGGGGTCAGAGTGATGCAGATTTGTTGGCTCTGGACATGAGGAAGGGCAGGGCCCAAGGAGTGGGGGCATCTCTGTGAGCTGGAAGAGGAAAGACCAGATTCCCAGAGCCTCCAGAAGAGGCTGGTTGTAACCCAGTGAGACATATGGCCCCCATGAAGATAAGATATTAAATGTGTGTTGTTTTAAGCCACTAAGCTTGAGGCCATAGGAGACTAATACATATGTGATATCACAAAGCTCTTTCCAGATAATGCATTCAGCCCCATCTTTTAAAGTGTAGCCTATTTCCAAACTTAGCCTAGTGATTAATTAAATCAGGCTATTGCATTTCTAAATATCATAAACATGTCATCCTCATTTCATATCCATAACAAATTATCCAAAACTTAGCTTCAAACAACACATCTTTGCTCACAGTTCTGGAGGTCTGAAGTCTGGGTTGGCTTGACTGGATTCCCTGCTTCTGGTTTTATAAGGTGAAACCCAGGTGTCAGTGGCTGGGCTTACTGTGAAGCACAAGGAAGAATCTGCTTCAAGCTCAAGCAGGTGGTTGGCAGAACCCAGGTCCTTGTAATTCTTGGACTGAAGTCCCCTCTGCCTTGATGGCTGTCAGCTGGCACCCACCCTTAGTTCCTTGAAGTCTCTCATGAGGCCATGCACATGTCCCCTGTGGCTTCTCATTCTTGGAAGCTCTCTAATCTCCCTTCTGCCACAGCTTCTTTGCAGCTGGGGAAAGTTCTCTGCTTGGGCTCAGGGAATTAGACCCCCAACAACTCAAGGAAGCCCATATCCTTCCAAGTCCCTTGTGAATAAAATGAGAGTTTCTGTGGCCAGGATTCTCTTCTGGCCATGGTTGACTAGCTCACTGCACACCTGTGGACAATACATGGCTGTTGACTCTATAAAAAGAGCTCCGCCCAGTGCTCTGGGCGCAACATGGTGGCAGGGCTGCAAGGCTGCAGGAGAGCACAGCAGAGACTGGAGTGGTGGCAGCACCGAGGACAGAGGCCCAGAGGACGGCTGTGCGGGACGACTATGCAGAGAGGCCCAGAGGACAGCTGTGTGGACAGAGGGGCCCGGAGGCAGAGACCTGCTTGCTGCCTGCAGACTCGCTCTGAGTGAATGGGATTCTAGTGACTGACCTGCCACCTGAAAATAAACTTGGGTATAACCCTTTCATCCCAAGAACGTTTTGCTGTCATTTTCCTTGGTCACAGTGAATCCATAGTGAACTTGCCCGGGACTAAAACCCATTGGCAAGACATCCCTTTTGCTATGTAAGGTAACATCGTTGTGTGTTCTGGGGATTATTAGACTGTGGACATCTACTGGGGCCATTATCCTGCCTATCACAATGGCACCTGTGACTAAATGATATTTTGTGCCCCCTTACTCTGTTCCTTCTCTCCTTTGTGAGATGGCCTACTGAGGGAGAGGACACTTTTCACCTGTGAGTCCACCTCACAGAGACCCGGGTCTCTGGGGACCATCCCATCTGTCATGGAGATGGTTAACAGCTGAGCAATCATTCTCCCTTGGGAATGGAGAATGCTTTTGGTCTTGCTGAGCTGTTATTAGTACTTCCAACCCACTTTGATGATCTGTGTTGACCCCCAAAACATCTTTATTACATACATATGTATGTAATAGGGACAAAAATGTCAAGTTATGTATGAGTAGTCACATGGCCATTCTCTCCCTGGCAGGATAACAAAGTTCTGGTGGACAACTCAACTTGATTCAGGTGCATCCACACTAGATTTTGGACGTTGATGGGGTGAGAAGCCACATAGGAGGTTAATAGTGCCGAGGCTGTGAAGTTCGGGCTGGTCCCCGCACTGTCCACGGTGGGGGGCTGGGGAGTAGTGATCCTTGGTGGGAAGTCGAGGGTGTGCTGTCTGCCCAGAGCAGAGGGCGTTGGTGTTCCGGGGCTGCGGGGCACACGGACAAAGAGGACTGAAGAGCCTTGGGGCATAGACCTCCTTTAGTATTCTTTGGGATTCCCCGTAAAGACCGGAATCATTTTCGGTCGTCTTGACTGCGTCTCCATTCGCTGAGTGAGCAGCGCAGCCACTGGGCGTAGCTGCCCATCGGGGCCCAGGGATGCACGGTACACTGACACCAACACGCACCCTGAAGAAGGCGTTTCCCGTAGGAGGCCTGCTGGAGTCTGCTGCCACCCACGCCGAGTGCCCTGATCGGTGACACTGAGCGTCCACTCACTGCAGGGGGACCCAGGCCCGAGCCGGCGCCCCCAGCGCGCGTGGCCACCTCCCGCCCTCACTCCGCGGTTGCGGAGTCCCGGGCAGGCCCGCTTGGACTGCAGGTCCTACGCCACCGGCTCCTCCACGTAGCCTCGCTCAGCTCATCGTCGAGTCTGGCACGACTTTTAAAAAGTAAGGCGAATGTGAAAATCCAATAGGAAAAGCCAATCAAGAAGGGACGCATGGCACATCTGGTGACCCAGCGTTAGAGCCGCCAGGGTACTCCCTGCTCGGTCCCGCCCCTAGGGCCTGCCCACAGCAGGCCCCGCCCTACCTCTCCACTGGCCCCGCCCACTCATCTGGGCCCTCCTCTTCACCGCCGGACCCCGCCCTTCCAGGCCCCGTCCATTCCCCCTACCCCACCAGTCGGTTCCGCCCCCTCCAGGCACCGCCCCTCGGGCGCGGCATTCCCGCGGGAAGGCTCCGCAGCCTGCGTTGTCGCTGAGCGGTGGGCTGGGCATGCGCAGAACGCGGGCGCGGTTGCCGTGGCAGCACCGGCCCCAGGGAGGCAGCGGGGCGCGGCGCTGAGCAGGCGGCGGCGGCGGGCTGAAACTGCTGTGCGGCTATCAGAGCCCGCGGCCGGGCGGAGGCGGCAGCGGGTAGGCCTGAGCGGCGGGGCGCGGCGCCCGGCCCGCGGGAATGCGGGACCGCCTGCCTGACCTAACGGCGGTGAGCAGCGGCGGATAGCGGTTCTGGCTGGGCGGCCGGGGCGGGGCCTGGCGGGGCAAGGGGCGCGGAGTGGGCGGGGCCGGCGTTGGGTGGGGGACCAGCGGCTGCAGCAGTGCCAGCGTCAAAGGGTCTCGGGGACTGGGCGAGCGGGGTGGGCGGTGCCGGGGTGGGAGGTCTGCTGGTCTACGGGAGGACCGGGGCGAAGCAGGGCGGGAACCCGGGGCCGCGGGTCTGTGGGCGGGCCGGGGGTCGGGGCGGGAGCCGGTGGTCGGGCTACTGCGGGCGGGAGTTGGGGCGAGTCCAGGCGGGAGTTGGGTGCCTGCGGGCCGTGCTTCTGGCAGTTCTCCGCACGGCCCCCTGCCCCGGCCCCGGCGGCGGAGCAGTAGCCGCGCTGGCCTGGCGTCCGCGGGCTAGATCTGTCCGTGAGGGGCGGTCTGTGGGGAGCCCCAGGCCTCGAACCCGCGGTCATAGGGCGCCTGCTCCCCAGGTGCTGCCCACCCCGCGCTCGCTCCTCGTAGACAATGTTTGCGTCCTGCTCGTCCTGCTCGCGCTCACCGCAACCAGAGGTGGTTGAGCGGCGGCGGGCTCACGTGGAATGTCACTCCCGGGATAGGCCCGACCCTGGGTCCGGCACGGCCCCGCGCGTGGCAGCAGCTCGCCGAATAGTGCGGAGTAAACTCAGCGATGCCCGCAGATGTGGGTGCCTGGGGCGCCGGGGTCTCGGAGGCGAAGGCAGCCCCTGGCCGGCCGGCAGCAGTTTGCGCTCGCCCCTCCTCCGAGCGCTGGAGGCACCCGGTGACTGCAGCAAGACCACGTTAACTCAGTATGAAAGAAGCAGCTCCCCTAGGATTGAGCAGTCGATTCTTTATAGTGGGTTAAAGATGACCATGCCGCGAGTGACATGGTGGCAGGGACACTGCAGTGGGTGTTAAAGAATGTGGAAGTGCTGAAACACTTTAAGCCAACAGAAATAAGACTTTTTTATTTAAAAATACAAGTACTAATTAATGCTGAGTGTTCACATTTTCCCTCCAGTATGCAGATAAAGCTTCTGTCCTCTGAATCGCTGGCAGGCTTAGAACAAGGTGCTAAATCCTCTACCCTAAAGCATTCATTGTTTGTAATGAATTGATTTCCCCTTTGCTTCTGGAATGGAGCCAGTTATATACCATGCTTAGGAAAGCAGACAAAATGACCACTCTAATCATCTCTGTCTGTCACATGAAGAACCTCGGTTCAGAAAAGTAATAATGCATTTATTTCATCCTTAGGATCATGGAAATCTGCTTTACACTCTTAACAAGACAGTTTCTTCATACTGATTTTTCTATCCTCTTTTTATTAATGGTCAAATATTTTGACCTCTGCAATTCACAGATCATCATCATGTTAAACGTAACACATTTCTGTTGTGTTATCTCACCCCATAGATTGTCTTTCCATGCCATGACAGGAGCTCAAATATTTGTTATATGAGGAAATGCTGAATGTATTTGAACATGAGAACTGTAACTTTTAGCAAAAGATAGCCAAATGGATGTAATATTGGGGAATAGTAAGAAAGATCTGTCAGTAGAATATATAAGCAGCTTTTCTTGGCTTGAAGGAAAAACTAAATAAGGCAATTATTTATTACTCTAAGTTCATGTATATTCCAGCTCTTACTGCAACAGTGTTAGTAAGCATACATCAACCTGCTTTGATCTAAAATTTTAGAACTAGAGGTGACCTCTGGTCCAATACTGTTCTGCTCTAGATGAGGGGATGGAGCAGTTGTAGAGCAGATTAGTGGATATGTATACTTCTGGAGTTATCTTGGTCAAATAATTTTTAAAACTCAAAATTTCAATTTTCTTGCATATAAAATGGAGATATATCTCTCTCATTGCTCATAGAGGGAGTTGTGAAATATAAAATTATCTCTTATGTGCACTGGGAGAAGGTAGGAGAGAAAATGTTATGTAATTATATGTAGTATTAACATTTGTTAGTTTTTAAAAATGTTTTCAGAAAGTTTTAAAGCCAACTTCCTAGTATAAAATATTAAGTTAAAATTGGATTTGACATACATAAAATTGAATAACTTTTGTTTAAAAATTCATCTGAAAGTTACATATGAAAGTTAAGCTTTCTTTTTCAGGAAGTATGTCCTTTCCAAGTAGTTATTAGAGTAGTTGAATGTCTATTCACAGCCATGTTTCTGGTGCTTTTTTATATTAAAGTTAATATTTAATTTTGGTAGTTAAAATGCCTCACAGCATTGTCCACAGTGACAAAATAGATGCCTCCAGAAAGTTTTTTTATTAACTGTTAATGCTTTCTCCTGAGAAGAAGATTACCACTGGTAACTACTTGGAAAGTACTTAAACATTAGTTTGTCCAGTACACTTTGTCAGATACGGCTTTAGCTGCTTCTAACCAATGATTCTTTTTGAACAACCAGTTTGTTTGGGCACAGAAAGTTTAGGTGACTTGCCCAAGATCTTCTAGGCTCTAAATCCATAAAGATGTTGTTTATGATTTACAAAAGTAAGAGGACCACCCGTCCAACAGACACTTGCATGCCAGGTCTCTGCGAGGCGATGTGTGAGGTGCAGGGAGGTGCAGGCTGTGGATGTGCACAGCCGAGGAAGGCAGAGCGTGGGGGGCACAATGGCGGGTGTTTTAAGATGTTCATGAGTCAAAATGCAGTGCCTATTCTACAAGGTTATGGCTATTTTGATCACCTTTTTTTTTAAGTTTGTGTATGTAAATGGGTGTATTTATGACAGGTAAGAATAGAGAAACTACAGATTTCAACTGTGGGGTTGTTTGCAGGAAATAAGCACAAACACCTGGTAGCTCTGTGGTATACATTAGCAGACCTAAAAGAAATGAGAAAATTATTGTTTTTAATCGCTGGGATCAAAATGATGAGTTGTAAGTTTAATTTTTTGAAGGGCAGAAAAATCACCCAGATTTTTTTAAAGTTAATTTTTGACAGCTCAGATTGTGCCTGTAGTGCAGAATGCTGATAGCAAAGATTCAGATTCCAATTTGTAAAATAAAACATTTTTTCCTAAATAATTCACTGAAATGTAAACTACTAGGAATTTTATAATATCATTTTATATATGCATATATTTAGAGTTTAGAGTTTCAGTATTTATTCAGTTCTGCAACTTTTTATATTTTATCATCATAAAAACAAATTCCACAGTTGAAATATACAGTTTCTCTATTTTTAAAAATTCTTAGTTGAAGTATAGCTGACATACAATATGATGTTAGTATAGGTATATGATATAGTGATTGGACAATTACATATGTCACTAAATGCTCACCACAATAGGCGTAGTTACCATCTGTCACCACAGCTACTACTTTCTGTATATTGACTGTATTTTCTACACTGTACTTTTCAAGTTTCTCTATTCTTAACTGTAATATATATATCCGTTTTGCTTAATGAGTGCCTTTTTTAAAGACAGCAAAACCTCTACATTTCTACTTCTTGTTTTTAACTTCCAAGTCTATTCTGAATTTAAGGAATAGAAAACATACGAGATAACCAATTCAGAAAAAGGGTTTCCTTTTAGTGTACTACCTTCTCATTGGTCATCCTGCTGCAGGGCACTACTTGTGGTCCTGACATGCCCTCTCTCCTCCAGGCCTTTGCACATGCTGCTCCCTGGCTCTGACACACTGGGGCCTCTCTGCCCATTTCCCTCTCTGCCTCACACCTTCTTTTGGTTCAGGCTTCAGCACTAGGAAGTCTTCTGGCCCTCCTTCCCTCTTCCGTCCCCAGATATGGCCATATTCCAGGCTCTAAGTACAGATGCAGTCCTGTTTTCTTCCTGTCCCCTCCCCCAGGCCCTTCACCAGACGTGTGCTGTCAGTTTTGCTCTGAAGCCTCAGTGTTCTGCACAGAGCACCTGCTAGTTATTTACTGAGTTGGTGCCTTGCCCTTTGAAAGTACCCATGGTAACAAAAATGTAGATGACAGTGAAACCTCTTGTCTTCAGGGCTCTTTCAGTTGCAAGGGACAGAAACCCATTAATTAAAACAGAAAAGGAGATTTATTAAAAGGAAAAGCCAAGCCACAAAATCTGAGGGTAGGATTTGCTGTCAGACCTCATGAGGGAGTGGCACTAGGGACCAGCCAGCAACCAAGACGACCTCTGTCCACCAGGCCCCTGTGCAGCCTAGTTGTGTGTCTCTGACTTTGCTCTTTCTCATTCTCTCCACCCTTCATCTTGGCCTCATCCCTTTGCTCTTTGTTCATTTGCTCAGCTGATTTTTTCTGAATGTCTGCTACATGTCAGGCACTGTTTTAGGAGTGGTGGGTGCATAAGTTGTGGGAAGATGATGAAGTCCTTGCTCCCAAGAAACTTGTGGTGGGGAGTGACAAGAAATAGCTAAGTGAGTGAGTGATAATGTATCTTTAGTAGTAAGTACTATGGAGGAAATAAAACAGTGAGTGTGGGTGCCTACTTTGGCCAAGGCACTCAGGGGAAAGTCTCTGAGCTGAGCCCTGAATAAGGAGAAGTTGCAGCGTGGACAGGTGTGGGGAAGTGTCCTCTGCCGGACGCTCTGAGGCTCACGGGCTGGTGTGGAAGACAGACACACCACTGTTTGATTGTCAGGGTGAGTGACGGTGGGGAGAAAGGAAATTGCTGCACATACCATTGAGAGAAAAAGCAAATTGCAGAAGCATTTGTGCAGTATAGTACTGTTTATGCAAAGTCTAAGGACCTGTAAAAAATAGTGTTTATAGATATTAATAATGGAGATGAGTATGTAGCAAAAAATATAAAACATGAAACAATGTACCATTCTACCATGGATGTAAAACTATAACTAATTATATAAAAATATGAGAAAAGGGTGTTCTATCTGGCACCATAATTACAAACTGACCACTGTCAGCTTTTACTTAGATTTAATTACAAGTATTCTCTCCTCTTTTTACTCAAGTGATTTAATTTTGAAAAAAAATTAATGCATGCCAGCAGTAAAGGTACCACAACCACTGTACATATATGTCAAGAGAATTTATTTCCCCACAACTATTATTTGTGTGCAAGGTCCTAGTGTACGTATATGTGGAGAAAAAATGCTAGTGTTTTATCCAACTTTGGATTCTATTAATTTGTGGTTGAAATCTTAACAGTGAGCATTGCAATGACAAATTATTCATCTCTGCTAAATAGTTTCTAAATACAGAAGCTACGTGCTGTCTAACTTGATAGTACTTTTCACATAGGGAGAATTGTATTTTTTTTTTTGAGAGGGCATCTCTCATATTTATTGATCAAATGGTTGTTAACAACAATAAAATTCTGTATAGGGGAGTCAATGCTCAGTGCACAATCATTAATCCATCTCAAGCCTAATTCTCGTCAGTCTCCAATCTTCTGAAGCATAATGAACAAGTTCTTACATGGTGAACGAATTCTTACATAGTGAATAAGTTCTTACATGGTGAACAGCAAGNTAAAGGTAGAAAACATAGTTTAGTGTTATAAGAGAGCAACTGTAGATGATCAGGTGTGTGCCTGTAGACTATGTGTTAATCCAAGCTAGACAAGGGCATTAAAACATCCACGGATGCAGAAGATTTCTCTCAAAACGGGGGTGAGGTTCTAAGCTTCACCACTGTTGATCCCCAGTTTCTCACCTGATGGCCCCCCTGCCGGGAGAATTATATTTTTAATATAATACAGTGTTTACAGATAATTCCTTTAAAATTTAACTGAAGTGGAATGTTGACATCTGGATGTTGATCTTGTACCTTGACGCTTTGAAATCAAGTATGTCATGTTGGAGAGCATTCCCATTGCTTTTAGTATATGCTGTGTCACAAATCGTTTTGTTAGCCCAGTAAAGAGACTGTCATAAACGAAAACTGTAGTGCAGGTCTGTCTCAGCCAGAAAGACTGAACATGGGCATTCAGTGAAGATGGCAGGAATGTAGCTTATATTAAATGGCACTGTTTTGGTAGTCATTTTCTATTTTTCTTTTATGAATGGAAAAGCTAAGGCAGTATTACTGGGTCTATTTCCTAATATCTAGTAGTTTTGAGAATTCCAAGTAGAAATAAGAAATGTAAGTAAGATTTAAAATAAGAGTAAACAAAGAAGATAACAGAGAAAATATATTCCTAGTCATCTGGCTCTTTCATGGTCTACAACTAGAGAAACAATTTATTTACCAGCAAGGGAATAAAGATCGTGTATGACATAAGAGTTTCAGAGAGTCAAGGAGGAATCATTTCTTTAGTGATAGTTTATTTACTGCCCCCTGTGTGGAGTGTGGTCAGTGTCCAGTGTGAAAAGTTGGAGTTAAGTGACTCACTTTCCTTAAGGAAAGTTATGTTGGAAACCATCTCTCCTAAGCACTGAAATAGAGAACAGTTTCTTGCCTGGAATGGCAGGTGAAGCAGTTAGCTTGGATTTTCGGCCGTGTTGTTCCCACAACAGTGTGGATTTGCCTTGCGATGATGGTGCTATCGGCATGGGGCGTGGCAGGGGCACAGATAGAACAGGACAGGCTGTGGGTAGATCATTGTTGAACCCATGTGATGGGTAGTGAGCACTCTTTCTAGTCTTCCTTCTACTTTTTTGTATATTTATAATTTTCCAGAACAAAATTAAAGCAAAAAAGTTGTGGGGGATGCTGAAAGGGGGCTGAGGTCTTTGTGGGTTTGCCTTAACATTGGTTTCTGCCGCTTGTGAGTTAGCTGATTGCAATTTGTCTTTAAGAGCTGCTTTGCTTTGAGTTAAGAACGTGGGCTGGAGATGACTTTGAAAGCCTCTATTGGCTTACATCTCCCTTTGAAAAGAATGCAGGAGGCAGTTTTCTTTCCACCCCTGTCTCTGCAGGAGGTGTGGTCTCCTGTCACAGACCAGGAGCAGAGACTCAGACTCGCTGATGGGCTGCTCAGACCCCAGTTCCTGGAACAGTGTTCTCTCTTTAGGTGATGCTGTCTCCATGCTGAAAGGGTGAGAAGGTGGTGTCTTGTGCATGAGCACAGGTGGTGATGGAGATGATGGTGCCAGGATGCTTCAGTCCTTATGTGGTGGGTGAGTGTCCTTAGGCTGTTGTAACAGAGTGCCACAAACTGGGTGCTGAGACAGCAGATGCTTCTACCGGTGCTGGAGGGCAGAAGTCGGAGGTCAGTGTATCAGCAGGACCTGCTCCCTCTGACAACCCCGTACAGGGTGTCCTCCCTGGCCTCTTCCAGCTTCTAGGGGTGGCAGGCAGTTCTTGGCGATCCTTGGCTTGTGGCTGCATCATTGCAGTCTCTGCTGCCTCGTCACCTGGCCAGCTACTCCTGTGCATCTGTGCCTTCTCATAGGACATGAGTCATGTTGGGTCAGGGCCCACCCTGCTCCAGCAGGACTTAATTTAACTAAGCACATCTGCACTGACCCTTTTCCTAAATAGTGGTTCACATATATGTGAGGAACTGTGGGTTAGGCCTTTGTCTATTTTTAGGGGACACAGTTCAATCCATAATACTTGTCCTGTTAACACAGCACAAATAAAACATTCTCAGTAGCAATGCTGCTTAATCCTGGGCATCTTCCTGCACAGCTGGTGTCATGTGAGCAGAGGGTGGTGACTCAGTCTCACTCTGGGAAGATCACTCAGAGTGGCTGCCCTGGGGTGCAGTATAAATAGAGTAATGGTCAGTGTGAAGGGGGCCACACATGTCCCCAAGGGGTGTCCACTTACCCTGCTTCTTGGAGTGAGCATCTGCAGTGACCCTTTGCAGGTGGATTGCTGCTTTGCCCTGCAGGTAGCTTCAGTGCCAGTCTGGTGATGAAGGACTCTACATTCTTCTCCTAAAGCCCCTTCCCTGAATGAGCTCTTCCCTTCCATTCTAGAGAAACCATCCCTGGTCCCTAGGCTCAGAGGAGGCCAGACTGAGAGCTGGATGGTCAGAGACTCCCTGGGGGTGATGAAAGAGTGGATTTTGGTGCTAAATTGACTGGCCTCAGTGGGGGTCCAGGACAGTGCAGAGGTAGGACATATGCGTTTCCTTAGCAGCTTCAAATACATTTTGGAGATTTTCCTTAGCTAAATTTTAGTGGAATTTTGTTGCCAGATTATTCCTGGGTTGCAGATCAATAAAGCTTCACTTAGACTTTAAAGGGGTCAAGACTTGGCCTTTCATAAGCATTTTGGGAACTCCCAAAACGCAGGCCACCTTAGCTTTTTTGCGAGGTTGGGCTTGAGCCGACTCATCCAGGTTGGCTTCGGGGAGATGGCTCCAAGTGGTTCCCAGCACTGTCCTCTGTGGCTGGGTTTCTCTCCCCTTCTTCTCCCCAGTTTCTCTGATCTCACTGATGGATGCCACGTCACATGGCTTTGGTAGACACTGTATAATTCTGATGCCAGCGCCTGCGTCTCACTGCTGTTTCCGCCTCCTGGAGCTGTGGACAGTAGTTGCTTTTTTCCCAGTCGGATGTTTCACTGTTGCCTTATTTTACCTGTCTGCAAGGGTGGTTCTCCATGTGGGTTTCTGGGCCAGCAGCCTCACCTGGAACTTGTTGGAGTGAAGCAGTGTTCTAGAGTGTTCAGGAGTGCATAGAATGTCCCACCCCAGACCTGACGAGTCTGAGGCCCAGCCTTCCAGGTGACTCTAGCAACTCCAGTTTGAGAGCCACTGGCCTAGAACACCTCCCCGTCTTCTGTGTTCGTGAAGTTTTTACTCGCAGTGCCTGGTTTCTATACCGTACATCACTCTGGCTCTCTCACTGACCATCATAGTTACTTTCTTCCTCAGGGTTACTTATTCAGGTCTTCTTTGCTAGGTTTTTCCTTATTTAAATGTTTATTGATTATTAGTGTGGGCATGACCCGGAGTTACTTAGGAGAAATGATGAATGTCAACTAATATATGTGAAACTTCCTTGAAAATTATTACGGACTCTAGAAAAGTCAGCTAGTGGTGTCATTATTTTTAATCTTTATAGAAAATATGCAGTACAAGCAGTTTCACTTCTTGAAGATAAAACTAGCTTGTATTGTATTGACTTTCTTAGTGAAAATGGGTGGTTCCACAGTGCTTAGCTCTATAAGCAATCCAGCTGTTGTCCCATTTCTGAAGAAGCGGCTGCAGCCTCCTCCAGGGTATCCGGCTCCTCCACCTTGGGGTCTGTAAGTCACAGCTGGTCCTGTTGTGTGGTCTGCCCTATGATTTGGTGGTCTAGTGACTGTGACCTTGGAGGGACTGAATTGCTTTTGTCTTTCAATTCATTGATTATGCCTACATAACGAATTTTTAAATCTGAATTTTACATTTTATCTTTTCCATTTTAGTGTAGGAAAAATGATGATGGGGACACTATGGTTGTGGTTGAAAAGGACCATTTTATGGATGATTTCTTCCACCAGGTAAGAGTCATTAGTGAAGCTCAGCCAGACTTTTATGTATTGTACATATTATATAACTGCATTTGTCGTATTGGAAATAACACTAAAACAAACAGTTTGAGGAACTGCTGTTCTCTAGACCTTTTAATGCTGGCAGCACAGTATTGGGCCATTCTTCCTGAAGCAGGCATGGGAGAGGCTTTTGGGAGGGGAGCTGGTGGACCTGAAAGGCTCTAGTGCCTTTGGGCACACTGTCACTTTAGTTGATGACAGGGGACGGCACTGCCTCTGAGTGAGTGTGTGGGACCCCAGGGAGATCCTGCCATACCTTCTGTGAGCTGGCCCAGTGGTGCGGCCCGTTGGTCCTGGAGAGCGGATGTCATTGTAGCAGTGCTAAGTCTGTGTCGAGTCAAGTGTGCACATGCATGCCTCTCCCACAGCCCCAGAGATCTGTCAAAGCACTTGTATTGTGTGTTTTTTAAAATCTTCAATTGAATTTTGAATTCCTCTCCTGAGAAGTCTTCCCCATTTCAGAATGCCAGTGTCTGGGTCCTGGGGATGCCTGTCCTGATCATCCTGATCAGTCTTGCACAGAGGCAGATCTCTGATTTTGGGAGCACTGCTGTACTGCGGCGGTCAGTTTGGCCTTTCTCTGAACTGTGTCCTGGACTTGACCTGCTGTCTGCCCTCTCTGCCTTCGCTGCGAGGACTCTTGCTCTCTCTCTCAGCTCCCCACACTCGTTTTTAGGTTCACACTATGTTTAAAGTCTTAAGCCTATGTAATATTTGACCAAATTTTGCATAATTTCCAATTTTTGATATTGAGTTACAGAATATTTTGACTTTGTTTAACAAGAAAAGACATTTGTCCAGTGTAATTTTTTAATGATGAAAATTTCCTTTGCAGGATTTGTTTTGATTATGCTGAATCTAGTCTAATAGTTTCAGCTGACCCTTAAAACCCATTGGCAGTCTAAACTGGTCTGTTAGTGCATGGATTTGGAAATAAATAATATGTTAATAAAAATAGTAAAAGCTATCAGTTTTCCAGATTCAGCCAGAATTTATTGAATACCTACTGTAGCATAGTCACTGGGTTTCAGGTATTTTTGTTAGTTCTGAATCTTACCTTCTGGAAAAACTGAAATTAAATTGTTAGATACAAGTTACTTTAAGGTACAAAAGCATTAAGGTAGTGGATTTCCTGATTTCATTTTGGGAATGAGATTTTTTATGAGCTTACCTACCCATTTTATGAAATCTTTATTCTTCTGGTTTTATCTCTTTTACCTGGATGCTTAATTTTTCCATACCAGTTCTATATAAAAACATATTTCTTATTTTAAGGAGTCTCCTAGCATTAAATGTTGTTGTTATATTTGATAGAAGAATTACATAGATTAAATCGCTGAAGGTCATGCAGCTATATAGTCTTTGCTAACCTAGTGCTAGTCCATTTTAGATATGGGGGTCGCAGGGACACATACAAAACAGGTGACTAGTGTTAGGAAGGTGTGAGTGATTGATGCTAACTTAAGGTTTCATTTGTTAGTTTATTTTACGGTTAATTTCTGCGAGGTGACTTCTTACTTAGAGAAGCAGAGAATTATTGATAAAAACTCAGTTTTAGAAAATGGCATTCAAGTCTTAAATATCACACAGAGTGCTATGAAAGAGGAATTTTGCACATGAGCAGTGTTTGATTAAAGACTAAAGTAGTGTTCTGAGTGGCCAGGGCATCTGCTTTTTGTGAAGATGGTTTGTAATGGGCAGAAAGGACCCTGTGTCATGTAATTCATAGACTCAAGTGGAGCTGGCACCACTGTCGGGAGGGCACTTCCCTCCTGGTACCAGTTGGTGGCCTAGCAGCTTCCTGTTCTTTTGGGCCACACTGGGGCTTCTGCCACGGAGATGGTGGGGATGCACAGGGCAGGACTCTGCTGGAGTTAAAACTGTCTTTTCTACCTTGTGACAGGTGTACCACTGAGTTTACTTCACAAATGGTACTTTTATTTAAAGAGGGCTAATTGAAATGCAGGTCAGTGTGCTGAAACCAAAATAGCATCACTTGTGCTTAAGAGCAAAATTTTGAAAGAAGTCAATTTTTATCTTGCGTGCTGTTTTTACATGATTAATACAATAACTTTAATCACATAAAGAATATCAAGATCTATAGAAATTGTGTGTGATGGAAATAACACCCAGGTCTAATAACAGCTGTTCACCATTCTATGAAAGCAGAATTGTGTTAGGGCAGAAGTCTGAACTGAGTCTTTTGGGGCTCTCGTCAAGGGGAGGCCAGGGCTGGCCCTCCTGGAGGCTTTGGGGAGCAGGTGTCTCCCCGCCTTTTCTGCCCACAGAGGCACCTGCAGTCTGGGCTTGGGGCCCTTCTTCCGTCTTAAAGCCCATCACCCCACCCTCTGCTGTCGCTACACCTCCTCTTCCTCAATGCGACCCTCTCGCTGCATTTTGTAAGGACTCTCATGGCCACACTGGAGCAATCCTGACAGTCCAGGACAGCGTCCCATTTTGACTTTCAGTCTCCACTGCAAGGTCGATTCTTCTTTGTCAGGTAACATCACAGGATTAGGATGTGGACATCCATCACAACATGTAATGGGCTCGCAATTACTGCTTTCAGGTGGATTAATAAATGACTAAGTCAGCTATTTCTCCATGTGGTAATCATAAATGGCCACAGCTTTTGTGAGCCAAAGCTCTCTGTGGTCTTCAGTAACTGTCAAGATACAGAGGTTCTGAGACAAAAAAATTGAGAACTGCTCTAGTACATAGGGTCCTTAATGTTTTTACCTTATTTCTTGATTAGCACATATATTCACATTTTTCAAAAATCAGAATGACATGAAAAGACATCGCCCTGCCCCACCTCCAAGCCTTGCTCCCACTGCTGTTCTTGTCTGCTCTGTTGTCTCCTCTCCCACTCAGTAGGGACTCCTCCTTAGTTTCTGGTTTAGACACCCTCGTGTTTGTTATGTAAAGTTAACATCTGTGAACAGGTGTTCATCTGAGCTTATATTGGCCTCTTACATCATTGTTTACATGCTGAATACATGGTTCTGCACCTTGTAGGTGTTTTTTTAACTTAATAGTATCCTGGGGATCTTTTTGTACCTTTTGTGATAGTTCCAGAATGTTCATTCTGCAGTCTAACAAGTGCCCTGTGGGTGGGCTTCAGGGTTTTCCTAATCCTGTATGTGTAGACATTGTATTAGTCCCTGGGGCTGCTGTAACAAGTCACCGCAAACGTAGAAGAGGACAGATTTATTCTCTACAGTTCTGGAGCCAGAAGTCTGAAGTGGTTCCCCTGAAACCATGGTGTTGGCTGGGTCACACGCACCAGAGGCTCAGGAAGAGTCGGCTTCCCTGCCCATTGCACTCCACAGCTGTGTGCCTGGGCTCGTGGCTCCTTTGTCCACCTTCAGAGCCAGCTGCATGGCTAGTGTTTCAGCGGTCATGCTGCCTCTCTGCAGCCACACCTCCACCTGCCTCTTAGAGGGGCACTCGTGACTATAGTGAGGCCAGCTGCAGTCCCCCCACTAAGATGTCTAGTCGAAGTCCCCCCACCAAGATGTCTAATCGAATCTGCAGTTTCTTTTGCCACATAATGTGGCAGTCACAGGTTCTGGTGAGTAGGACCTGGACATTTTGGGTGGACACCTTCCGGCCTACCACAGAGGGTTTTGAAGATAGTGTTATGACTGTATCTGGACAAATCTTGCTGATGAATACCTTGGATTTTGAAACAAATACCGAATAGTTTAGATCATTAGCCATTAAAACAGTGACCATGAAGTCTTAGCCTTATCAACTGTAAATACCTCCGACACAAGACTGTCACCAGTGTGAGCTTCAGGGCATACTGTGGGCTGCAGGGGTACTGGTGTGAGTCTGGTCTGCTTGGCATCCTATGTGGCAATCCGTGGGTCTTGGTTGTAAAAATGTTTACAGCCTGATAAGTTTTGGTGGTGAGTGTTAAAGGGTGTTGCCTTATTCATGGATGTATATATATGTTAATATGGTACATTTCTTTTATTTTTTAAATTAAATGATTATCAATGTGTGACTGGTAAAAGGCTATTATTTCTTTATGTGGTAATCATTCACTCATTTCCCTCTTTCATCCTTTTCTGTTTAGGCAATGGAAAGTGTAGCAAATTTGAATTTGCCATATAAAATGATTTATTTCTCTCCTAGGTTGAGGAGATCAGGAACAGTATAGCTAAGATAGCTCAATATGTTGAAGATGTAAAGAAAAACCACAGCATCATTCTTTCTGCACCAAATCCAGAAGGAAGTAAGTTTGTTGGCAATGAAAAGAAGCATGTCTGTCTGCGTGTCTCTCTCATGCCGTAACACAGGCCGCAGCCCTGGCTGCCCAGGGGGTCAAGCTGGCAGCTTATGAAACACGCTGCACTTGACAGGCCACACCTTGGGACCGCAGTGCATTGGGGGGTGGGGGGACGGGTGTCGCTGTGGTTCTTACAGTGCCTGTGTTATTCCAGTGTTCAGCTGGGGTGAGGGCCACTGATGCTAACAAAGTGGCCAAATGAATGCATGCTGGTGGCTTTGTAGAGCTTTGGGGCTTCGTCAACACCTGGGCCTTAGATCTGTGTCATGTCTACAGTTAAACAGGAATGACAAGAGATTGGCTGGGAAAGCAGTACTTGTAAGGGCAGGCTTAACAGGTGGGAACAGAGTCGTTGGTGGCCTGGTCCGGATGGAATAGCTTGTGCTGTGCTCTGTGCCTGTTGAGCTCAGCATGTGAGCAAATGGCTTTAAGTAACCAAGCATCAGGGAGTGGTACTTAGAACTTTTCCTGTATCCGATTGGAGTGATGAATTTTGAAACCTAAAGGTAAGGTGAGTCTGGATGAGAGAGATTACAATTTGGAATGCACACATCATTTTTGGGGAGAAGTGATGTCTTTGTAAGGTTTAGTCCTGATCCACACAGCTGGTCTCCTCTGCTCTCTAGGCCATCTTCAGTCTCTGGTCCATGTCCCGTCAGTCTGGGGATAGCCTCCCACAACTTTAACTGTGTCTCTTAACTAGGTGGTCGATGTTTGATGTCAACGTAAATAGTATCTGGTGTAAGTTTTATTTTCTGTTTGTTTCTCTAAATGGGAATACCGTGGGTTTTGTGTGTTGACCATATATCCCATTGTCTGGCCTAATGATTAATTCTGTGAATTTCTCTGGAGCTCTTGTTGGGCTGCCTCTGTACCCTGTCATGTCCTTTGTGAATAATGACAGTTTTTCTTTGGTTCTTAAGCCTTTTCCTTTTAGTTGACTTGTCTCACTGAAATCCAATACAGTATTGAATGGAAGTGGTGATGGTGACACTGTTATTCTCAATTTCAGAGGAAGTTGAAAGCACCTTTCTGTTAGAAGATTATTTGATACATTAAGAGGGTAAAAACTTGGTTTTTAATTGAAAAAGAACACATTTTTAATTTTAAGATTTTGCACATCTTGTAAATTAACCTTCAAGCCTCTGTAGATGCCCTATCTTATGATATATAAGAGTTTTCCCCAAAGTGTGTTCCTGGAACATGAATCTCATTAGCCAGCCTATGAAGCAGTTGTGCAGCCAGGTATATTTGGGGACCTCTTTATACCACATCCTCTCTTGGAAAGTTATAGTGTACTTACAGTAACAAAGGCTGTGAGAGGTCCTGAAATCAAGAAACCTATTCAGCTGCTTAGTGTAGTGTCTAACAAATTTATTTGCCCACAGAAGTTTTTACATTACACCTATTAACGTCTTGCTTAATTCTTGGGGAAATTGAATTTGAATAAATGTTATTTATTTTTTGCATAATTTACCTCCAAAAGCTTTTTGCTGCCAAGTAATAGCAGTTAAAACTGTTGTTTGAATAAATTTAGAGCTCTCAATGCTTCGCAATAGTCCCTTTTGAGCTCTGAATAAAACTGTTGCATTTTGTCTTTTGTTTGTTTCACAACATGGTATGAACCAAAATTTAGGAAGCAATGTCCAACTGCTTGCTTAGTTGGTTTTTAAAGAGAAAAACACAGCCCCTCCTTTCCTGAGATTCTGGGCCCTCCAATAAGGAGCCCAGGATGAGGGTGATGGTGGCAGGCTGCTGACCCCCAGCCTTTTGTCCTGGTGGTGGGGGAGGTGGGGAAGGAGACGGGGAATGTTGGTTCTCCAGTTCCTTGGTGCCCTCCCTGCTCTGGTCCCTGGATGGGTGTGCCAGGTAGGTACAGTGACCCCTAGAGGCCTGGAGGTGCTGGGTCCGAGCCTTGCCTCCCTCAGGCCCTGAATAGTGCCTCAACTCAGTGGCCACCAGGTGGCACCAAATCGGAGTCCAGCTTCGGCCCTGTTTGCACAATTCATTTTATTAACCTCCAGGGACAAGATCCCATAGGGTCATTTACGTGCATTTTTCTCTATTCACCTTATACTTTTGTATTTTTTTAGAGGGCTTTTGTAAAATGTGTAAGCTTAGGGCCTCGAACAGGTTGAAGTGTTACCAGGGATTCAGTGAACTATTTCATCAATCAATTGCTATAAACCAGCTATTCTCAAATTTCCCTGAGCATCAGAATCACCCCGAGGCTTGTTAAATCAGATGGCTGGCCCCACTCAGCACAACTTGCTGTTGAGTAGGTCTGGGGTAGGGCCCCAATTTGCATTTCTTCTAAGCTCCCACCCAATGGAGCTGTGCCCCAAAAGTACACTTTGAGGGTCACTGGCATGACCAGTAGTTTTTCATAAGAAACAAGCCTGAATATTTACCAAGAATATGTTCCTTTTGAGACTATTGGACATTACTGATGTTGGATATTATAGCTCAGTTGCCTTTTTTTTTTTAAGAAATAAAAGAAGAGCTTGAGGACTTGAACAAAGAAATCAAGAAAACTGCTAATAAAATTCGAGCCAAGTTAAAATGTGAGTTTAAAGTTTTATGTTTAATCATTGATGATGGGAATATGGGTGATTATTATTTTCTGTGTAATTTTTTATTCTTGTACATTTTCAAAAGTTAAAATTGTGAGCTCTTTAAAATAAATTATTTGTACATACTTAAAATAGTAAGCCTTTAAGTTATTCGTTACTCTAAAATTCTTACACTACTAGCTCTGAGGATTTCCTATGAGGAGCTAAAGCTAATGGTAGTTAATCCTTAAATTAAGAGAGAAGCAGTAATACATATTCAAGAAGATTAAGCACTAGTTTATAAATTGCTAATCTCTTAGAGCAGTGTATCTTAATGACATTTTAAGTAGCCTTTAAAATGAATTGTTAGGTTCTTTTTGAATGGTCATCTTTTTGTTGGTGGGTGTTTTTGAATGGTACTGGATGTTGTCTTCAGAGCAACGGCAGACTTAAAGAGCCATGCTAGGACACATTATGTTTAATGTTTATAAAATATCATTCAAACCAAGAAAATTTCTGCAGATCAAAAAGAATTTTCATTCCAGAAAATTTTAGACATAACAAAAGCCGGGAGATTACCCGACAAGCCTGGTGTCCGCACCCTTTGGCTGGCTGTTCTCAGTGGCTTTCACCTCACCCTGATGATGTCCAAGCCAATCACGGACATCGAGGACTTCAGGGTTTATTCCTAAAACATAAGGATACCCCTCCTAAAATACGACCATGATACTGTTGCGCAAGTCCACTTAGTTCCATTTATTTATTATAAAATACCCAGTCAGAACACTTCCCCCATCTGACTTGGGTTCCAAATAAGGACCATCCACTGGGATGGGCTGATACGTTACTTAAGGCTTTTTAAAATCAGATTTTCTGTTCATCTTCCCCCAGCGCCTTTTCCTGCCGGTGGAGAAGCCAAACCTTTGGTATGTCAGGATCTGCTAAGCTCAGGGTTTTGCTCATTGCAGCCTGCAGTGCTGTCTCACAGGCACCACCATCCTCTGCTTTTCCTGTGGCGTGGTCGATAAGTTCTCCAAACCTGACCAGATTCAAGTGTTTTCTTCTCTCTTAAATGTTAAGATACAACATCTGGTTTTATTTTATGATATTATCAACAATTGATGATTATTAGCAAAATCCATAAATTTATTGGGAGTTGAAAAGATAAGGAAAGCAACCTGAGGTTTGGCTTGAAAAACTTCCATTCTTTAGTTTAAGACACTCTTTCCTGTTTGTTTCTAGCTATTGAACAAAGTTTTGATCAGGATGAGAGTGGGAACCGAACTTCAGTGGATCTCCGGATACGAAGAACCCAGGTCTGATTGGTAGCCTTGTTCCAGATTGAAGGGGTGTCAGAGAAGGGCTTTTTACTCTCTTCTCTGAAATTTAAAATTATTCCATCTTCCCTGTCATCTAAATCCTCACAACATTTCTGCATGAAAAGGACATAGTATTTATAGATTACTTCTCTCTATTAATAGAAAAAAATCTATTCAGCCCATCAGCAGAATTCTGTTCTAAAGAGCAAAGAGTTACCTGAGTCATGTTGGTGTTCATGGTAAGGCCCCACCTTCTGGAGGGTCAGATGCAGCAGAGTAAATTCCAGGCTGCTGAACGCTGTTCAACATTGTGATATGCAGGCTTGGGACAGCCTGCCTGGTGCTGGCCTGACCCAGTCGCCCTCTCTGTCATGGATTCACCTGTGTAAAATGGGGGTCATGAGAGCATAGCGAGGTTGCTGTGGAAACCTAGTAAGAGATGGGGTTCTCGCATAGACTCTGTTAGAGAGAAGTTGCTGTTAGTCTTACATTACATTTGAATTCCATAACATGTTTTTACTTATCACTTTCAGTAGAAGAAATAGCCACTATATATTAATCTGATATTTTCTGTGTTAAAAGCATTCAGTACTATCTCAAAAGTTTGTGGAAGTTATGACAGAATATAATGAAGCACAGACTGTGTTTCGGGAGCGAAGCAAAGGACGTATACAGCGTCAGCTAGAAATAAGTGAGTAAATGAAAATGCTGCTGAAAACTTATTTTTCTTCCTTAAGGTCTGACATCAAAGTACTATAACTTAAAAAAGTAATTCCACCTATTTGCCATTATTGTAAAATCTAAAGCCCTTCCAGAGCTTCCTGCTACTTCTATCACCCAAATCTGTTATTTATTTACATTCTACAGAAAATTCTAGGTGAGTGGACTTTAAATTATGTTACTGGAAGAGGGTTGATCAGATTTGGAAAAATTCAGGCCCCTGTTCGTTCAGGTGTTTTTCTGTGCTCACCAATCCTTCCTGCCCATCCTGGGAGATGTTTGCATGAGGTCTTCAAGCCTCTCTGGGTGCCCTGTGCCCAGGTCCTCTCTCAAGGATGTCTGTGGTGTGGGCCTTGGGAGAGGGCTCTTGTGCCTCCTCTGGCCAGAAGGCAGTTTGCTGGGTTAGCAAAGTTATCAGGTTTGCTGGGTGCCACTGTGAAAGGTTAGGGCTCTCCAGGACACAGGCCGCTGGTCACAGCTGCGGGGCTCTGCGTCTCCCCATGGTCATGGGTGGGTGGGGAGATGGCCATGAACATGAACTTGAGAAGTGTATTTCTGCAGCTTCACTGAGGTATGATTAACGTGCCAGGTGAATGATACTCAGTGGGTTTAGTGTATGAGTACAATGTAGAACATTTTCGTCCCTCCAAAAGAAGCCCCATACCCAGTGTCAGTAACTTGCCAGCTCTTCTCCCCTGAGCAGGCAGCCACATCTATAAATTTGCCTGTCTTGGACGTTTTCATAAAAATGGAATCATTCAGTGCATGGACTTTTATGATTGGCCTCTTTAACTCAACACAATTTTCTAGGTTCAGCCACATTGCAGCCTGTGTCCATACTTTGACCCTTTGTAAAGCTGAGTCACGGTCCACTGTGGGGATGTGTCACGTTTGGTCTCTCCATTCATTGGGCATGCACATTTGGGCTGTTTCTACTTTTTGGGAATTACGAATACTGCTGCCACGGATGGTCATTTTAATTGTAATTACATTTATCCTTTAATTTTGTCTTTTGTGGCACAAATTGTGAAAAATAGTGATTATCAATTATGTTTCTCCAAAAGCCTGTGAGCATGTTTCGCAGAGAACATTCGTACATTTAACTCAAGGGGATATATGAAGAACAAAATGAGAGAGGATGGGAGCACCTGATTCTGATGATGCAGTCTTTATTTGTGTCCATTTAATGTGCACTGTATTCAGTTACCCACTTTCTCCACAAGCCAGAGTTAAAGCTTTAAGAAGACTGCGGTGTTAAAAATTACATTGATTTCCTTTTTATAGTGTTTCTCATTCACACTAAACCCGGGCTAGTATTCATTCCAACTGCAAGGTTCTCCATGAGTTTTCCAGTCTGTTCATTTGGCTCATCATTAGCACTTGCCTAAGAAAATCATGTGAAAAGGTTGGGAATTATGTTTAAAAATGTGAACAACTCTAGGGAATATATTCAATAATAGTGCAATACCTCTGGTGACTGATGGTAACTGCACTTAACCAGTGTTAGGAAGGTGTATAATTAATTGTCCAGCACTATGTTGTACACCTGAAACTATCATAACATCGTGTCAGCTAGGCTTCAATTAAGCAGTTAAGAAATGTGAACAACTCAGATGTTAGCTGCCAGCTTATGGTTGAAGAAGTCACTGTATAGTATCGCCACATTCTGAGTGGAATTTTGGCTGCTCATGTTTCAGCCGGAAAAACCACCACTGACGACGAGCTGGAGGAGATGCTGGAGAGCGGGAACCCTTCCATCTTCACCTCCGACGTGAGTGCGCAGCTGCCGTCGACCATGTGCGCTTATGCGTATGTGTATTTCTCTAACTTCCAAAGCAGTCCTAAGTTCATTAGTATTTCTCTTTTGTTTTTGTTTTTTAAAGATTATATCAGATTCACAGATCACGAGACAAGCTCTCAATGAAATTGAGTCTCGTCACAAAGACATCATGAAGCTGGAGACGAGCATCCGGGAGCTGCACGAGATGTTCATGGACATGGCCATGTTCGTCGAGACCCAGGTAATCTCACACACCCTTCCTGCTGGGATGCAGAACTGGCTTGTGTGGCTTGTGTTCGATTTGGTGAGCCTGGAAGGCCATTATTTTGGATCCCATCTCAAATTCAAAAGTGGATTGCAGTGTTGTTATGGTGTAAGACTGAAATGCTGAAACAGCTTAAACTTCGGACAGGCAGGGACTGTGTTAGTTCACGTAATGGTGTGTCCATAAGGGAGGTTGGTTAGTTAGTTCCATTTAGGTGTACCCATAGGGCCTGGTTAGTTAGTTTAGTTACAGTGTTTCCATTAGGGACAGGGTTAGTTAGCTCACTTACGGTGTGTCCATTAGGGACAGGGTCAGCTTGTTCTGTTACAGTGTATCCGTAGGATAGCCTGTTAGGCAGCCATAGGCAACAGGAACTTTTTGTTCATGGATGATTTTTAGTGAAATATACAAATGTGCTGGATTTTAATTTAAAAGAGAGATAAAAACCTTATTTGTATATGTACATATCTGCATAGTCATAGTATAAAACATATTTTATGGCATGAACTTGGCCACATAAAACAATATTCAGAGAGGAAAGAAATATTCTAAACAATATAATAGTGGAATTATGGGAATTCTAATTTTCTTTTGTAAAATATTTGTATTTTTAAGTTTTTTACAAGAAACATATATTAGGGTAATAATTGAGAGAAATGTTTGAAAGAATAAGCCAAAGAGATATATAGTCCATGAAACAAATAAAAGCTGGTCCTTAACTGTGTAGTATGTGGCGACACAGGCAAGGAGGCACAGGGCGTGTCCCCTACCAGGGGCTGGAGAAGTGTGTACAGTTTCTGAAAATACAAAATGCAGTGCCTGTGAGGTGTGTGGGTATGTCGCCCTTGCCCTGGTGATGCTGAGTGAGGCCCTGTGATTTCTCCAGTGCAGTCTGAGGTGTGGACCCTGCCTTTTTGGTCAGTAGACCATCCTGTCCAGCTGAGCCCCACGTGCCATGGGGTCACTCAGGAGCATCTCGAAGAGCACGTCCCTCCCCTATGGAGACCGGTTTCCGGGTGGTGTTTGCAGGAATGGTCCTCTAAGGAGACTCAGGTCTGACTGGCTCCTTTTCTGGGTTGTCTGGATTGCGTGAGGAGCAGTAGGAAGGCCAGCAGCCAGCCAGTCTTCACTCTCTTCACTACTCTTTTGAAGAACGTCGTTCACTTTGAGGAACGTTACGTAAGAACATGTGGGGACCGCTTAGGTACTACGCACTTGAGAGGAGAAACCAGCACCGCCTGTGGGTGGGGACAGGACAGCCTTGCTCCTTTGTGATTTTGTTGAGATCCGTGCCGATTACGGCACAGGAATGGAGAGTGGGGAGGCTGGTTACTACCGGCTTCTTATTTTTCGGGAAGTATTTCAAAGGAAACCAGTTAGATAATAACATTACATTATTTTTGCAATTACAAAAGATTTTAGAGTCCCTTTGATTTTAATTAATATTCTTCTATATCAAATGTATTAAGTGCCATTAGAGAAAGCACTGTATTTATAGCTTTGTTTCACTGTTTCCTTTTGGAAATCTATTAATATTGCATTATATTGACTCACCTGATTCAAAATGTGTGCAGTCACAACTTACCAGTAAGTTTAAATCTGAATAAGTCACTTGTGTGTCACTCTCCATTGCTTCGCCCTTCGCTGCTGCAGATTCTGTCTGCTGTGGACAGGGAGCCAGGTAATGTGTTTTCTTTCTAAAACTTCATTGGATTCACCTCACTTTCCATTTTTACTTATTAATTCAGTCACCATATTGTCAGACATAAGCTATTCTTAGTTCATTGATATTTTAAAGAACTTGAAGCACTTTTCTACCCACTAGAAAGATATCGTTCTTTGTGTTGTGTGTTGCGTGAGATGGTCAAGCATCAGTTTAGCCTAAAGCTGCCTCTCCTTCCCGTGCTCACCTTAAAGTGTCCACATATTCAAGCATATCTCAAAATCTACTGAGAGGCTTTTAGTTACCAGCATTGTTGCCCATCCATTTGGTTCTCTTTAAAATATTAATTGAGTTTTGATTACCTTGTATTGGCACATTTATAATGTTCTCATCTTTTTGTAAACATGAAAAAAAACCTTCCACTTCAGAATCCATCATGTATGCATTTTGTTCATGAGAAAACTGTTGATGCTATAGGGCTGTCTTAAGATGTATAATCAAGTCATTTGAAAATGTCTTCTAAGTTTGAAACTTTTTGTTTTAAGGGTGAAATGATCAACAACATAGAAAAGAATGTCACGAACGCAGCAGACTACGTAGAGCATGCTAAAGAGGAGACAAGGAAAGCTATCAAACACCACAGCAAAGCAAGGAGGGTGAGTTTGGTTGTTAAGGGTCACAGTGCATTTTTCTCTACTTGGTTTCGAATGATAATACCTTGACATAAGCCTACTCAGGAAGCATTCCAAGAAATAAGAATTTCTTAATGTTTCATTTTAAAACTGAAATAATTCTTTTTTGCTAAAAAATTTTGAAGTTTATTAGAGAAATGATTTTTTGACTATGAACCCTTTTGTGTTTAAGTAAGTAAAGGCCCTCACAACCAAAAGCCAGGCCATTTCCTTTCCTAGGTTGATAGGTTCAAACTCTAGAGTTCTATGTTTCTTTAGTCATTATTTATAGAGAGATACAAAACTTAAAGGGATTGGAAATTCTAAAAATCATAGGTTAGTCATTTATGCAAATGAACACTTTATTCTTTATTTAGGTTATTTGGTAACCCTTTGGTTTGGTTATTTGAGACTGTGGCCCTTTGTGCTATGCAGGCCTCCATGGAAGCTTTGGAAATAAGTCTTAACTTCCTCCTCTGCATCTCAGTGTGCCATGTGAGAGTGAGCTCTTCCAATTAAATGACAAAAATGGCACATGTCCATCCTGATTCAGTGGCCAGGAAACCGCCTATGTGTCTCCTTGTGCATCCTGGCCAATGAGACCTTGGTTTCTTTCCCCCACAAGCACCAAACTACTGCTTTCCATGTTTCCTGCATTCTGGAAGATGGCTTTGGGTTTATAGCGCCTTTTCCCAGAGGCTGACTGCCTAGGGCCTGTCAGGAGGAGGTTCCCCGAGTGATGCCAGCAAAGGCTTTGCAAAGAAAGAGTTTTAACCTGTTCAGAAAAAATGAAGAGTCACAGATCTTGAGTGCAGATTCATCCATGAAAATTGTAAAGGACATGCTCAGATTAGCAGGACTGGGCTTTGCTGACTGCCTGCAGAGCACCTCACTGCTTTTTCTCAGTCAGGTCTGAATGTGTTCATTACCTTTGAATGTTCGGACATGGTTTCTTGCATTATTAGTGTTAGTACTTTTTAAAATATTGACCCTTAAAGTGAGGTGATGAGGTACATATGAAAGTGCTTAGCTTAGTTCCAGGAGCAAAATGTACTTTTACTTTAAAATTCACTGAGAAGGCCAGTTCCCTTCCTTTTCTCCATGGCCTAAGCAGCATGTCAGTCCAAGGAAACTCTTAGTGAAAAAAGTTTGTGGTTTTTATGAATATAAAAGGTGGAGTGATGTATTTTCAATTTTAACCTGGTGGGAAGCCTTGCTTAAAAGATGTCACAGGTCTGTGCATTACTTGGAGTGTCAGCTGGTCCAAAATGTAGTCATGTGATTAAAAAATTCTTGTGATCTTGTAGTTAAGTGCCTGACATCTGTACACGCAGCACATTTCCCTTCTCACTATAACCGCTGATGCTCAGCTGCCGCATCTATGGCCGCCCCCTCGTGTCTTGGTTTTATTCCCAGGGCAGGTGTGTGTGGCCCCTAAAAGGCTACACAGCATTAGTGGAGTGATTTATTTCACGTGGTATAGCAGGAGCAGGGCAGGATATAACTGCCAACAACAGACGAGAGACCAAAGTGTGGAGCTTATTAAACAGAGCTCTGATTTCCTAGCGTGACGAGCCAGCTGTGTATCTCCATATACAACGAAAGGGTCAGCTGTGCCTTAGTCCACTCGAAACTTACCAAAAAATGTGATCAAATTGCTCTCTCACTGATGAAGCCTAGTATTCTAAGAGTTCTAGAACAGTTTATTTCCAAATACTCTGACTCTATCAAATTAAAAATCACTGTTTTTAATAAATAAAAATTGTCAGACAGAATTGTCCTGTAACAAACTTTAAAACAAATCCCATGGATTGTTTTATTTTAAATGAATGATGTCTTCTAATGTGATATGAAATTAACCATGATGTAATCAGCTCACTCTTCTTTGACAGAAAAAGTGGATAATTGTGGCCGTGTCAGCCGTTCTGGTTGCTGTAATTGCTCTAATTATTGGTTTATCAGTTGGCAAATGATGATGTGACCCATCGCATGCATGCCTCTCTGCCAGTGTGGTAGTAAGTAACTAATCAACTAATCCCCTTAATAACCTCCCTGAGTAGCTAATAGCAGTGCTTGCCCACTTTAACATACTTAAGAGCCTGGCCAGCAGAGCAGTGTCAAAACGTCATCCAGTGGCACATGTGCCTGACTGCCCCATGTACTGAGAATAAATGGTGGCAAATCCTTCTAAACCCTTTCTTCTTCATAGTCATTAAGCTTCCAGGTGCCCTTGTATTGAGGGGTGTGACAGCACAGCGACCAGCGGCTCCTCAAGCAGGAGGAGAATAATTGCCAGGACTGGAAGCTGCTCTGTGGGCCGAGGTCTCATCATGTTACTGTGGTGGAGGGAAAAGCAGCCAAGCTGTGAGGGGCAGTCAGTGGGGTGCCTCTGTCCAGCTTGGCCCCGTTGGGCAGCCTCTAGTTTGCTTAGAACTATTTCCTTATTAAAATGAAAACTGTGTTTTCAGCATGGCTATTAATTCTTAAAGGATCCTGAATAGAAAAGCTCAATTATTTATTTAAAGAATCTTTATTTTTGCTCACTGCATGAGTGTCACCTTTCTTCAAACCTCAGTAGATTTCATTTTCCATGGGTTTTCCTGTGCATCTGGAACCACCTTCTTGCATTAACCCTTGCTAGCGTGCTGCCTGGTGCATTAACTTTGGGCACGCCAGTTATTGCTCAGGAGGTGTGTATTTGGCGTAATCGCTATGATGGCTGTTTTGGAGTCCCAGGACATCTGGGTTGTGACAGGTGGTCCTTGAGGAATTCCTTCCTCACTAATGAAAGCCACTGCTGGCCCGAAGGACACTTGGCACTTTGTTTAAAAACAAGCTGCGGTGGGAGGAGGGCATCGCTTGTACCACTAGCCTCACTACTGCTTTCAGGCTCTGAGAGCTCTTGGTCTGCGTGAGCGGCTACGACACTGGCCAGCTAGTGGTCTGACACACCCATAGCCACACAGGTGCATGAACTGCTGCACGGGGTTTCCGGTGGAGCAAGGTAGCCGGGGGCTGGCAGGCCCTGGAGCTGGAGGGTTGGTGGGAGAGAGGGCCTGAAGGTGCAGGAGGGGCTGTCTCCAGACACTCTGGGAGCCCACTGGTGGCCAGGACTTAGCGCAGGCGGAGTCCTTCCTCAGAAGTGTGCACAGAACTCACCAGCACCAGGTCTGAAGGAGAGGCTCTCTGAGGCCGCATTCCCTGGGTTCTGGGAGGTGGCCTGGAAGTCTCAGAGGGGCCAGGCCACACTCACCTCCATCTGTGGTTCCCGAGTCGATAGAGCTCAGCCATGCTCATGGGGTCAGAGCCTCCCAGCCTCAACAGGGAGGGCCTCTCAGATGAAATGTGGCATGCATCTGCTCACTAGGATTTGAAATTGGAATCTCTGCTTTTTGCAAAGAGAAACTCAAAGACACAAGGCTGCTGTGACTTCTTTCCCTCCTCCTGCAGAAAAATTTCCTGTAGGAGAGTAGAGGTCTTAAGCCAAAGGTTACTTAGCTTCCAAATGCACAAGGGTGCGTGTTAACAAAAAAATCTAAATGGTTCTGGGTCATGATGCAAAGGAAGACTGGATTAATGGCTAGTTGTATCATACCTCAGTAAAAAAAGTATAAGTAAGATTTTTCAGCAAATGAAAAATAGGTTCATTTAAAGTCTTAAAAAGCTGTACAATTGATCTTAGAAATAGTAGTTTGGAATTTTATTATGATCAATGGAAAGTGTTTATTAAGAATCTGCATGATGCTTCTCCCTCCAGGAGCAAATTGCTGTTATTCTAATAATACATAGTTTTATTTATTAAATTCACTTAATTTAATGTGCACATATCTATAACTTAGTGCTTTGCCTATGGAACTTTCCTTCCTCCCCCTTCTCTGCTTTTCTGTGACCTGTGGGGGCTCTTTCTTAATAATGGATTTTTATTTTAAACCATCTTAAATTCCAGAATTTTGTTGACCTTAGTGATTTCTTTCCTTCGATACCTTGCAAATTAATTATTATTATTTTTTATCTTACAGAAAATGATGTTCATTATTTTTTGTGTTATTATTTTGCTTGTGATCCTTGGAATTATCCTAGCAACAACATTGCCATAGCAGCAATATCCCAAGAACCATTTATCCTTGGAGTCAGACCACGTCTGCAGCAATCAGCGTCCCCCATTTCATGAATGAATCCTAGACACTGTGACATGTGGCACTGAGTGCTGGCTTATTAGTGAATTCAAGGAGAAAACACAACAGAATGTATTGTTCAGTGAAAAACCGTAAGCAGAATGGGTGTGATGAGTTAACCCCAACATCCTTGGACTCTAAGTAATACACCACAATAATCTAACAATATGAAACTTGTTTCAATGGCCTTAAATAAGAAATTATTGAAAATTTCAATTTTTAAAAATTTCAGTGTTAAAATATATGTGACGTTTAATTAGGAATATTTATGTTATGAAGCCATTAGATTTCAGTCTTCCTTCCCCAGCTAACATGCTAATTAAGATATAGCATTTTTGAACTATGTTTAATTTGTGTTTGTTGTTTGCAAAAATAATTTTTATTATCAAGAGCTGTTTTGTAAGATATCTATACTTTTAAATGTTTATAAAGTAATTGCTTAATATATTAACATCTTAACTTACTGTTTTTATATATGAGACATTGCCTTTAAAAGGAATAAGAAGTTTCATGATATTAGAGCCATTTTTGCACGGTTCACAGTTTGCCATTGGCATTGAAAACATTGGTTGCAAAGTACCCCAAAAAGCCTTTCAAGTGCCTTCTGTTAAGATTGATTTGTAAGGTTTAACTGCACCTAACACCCTCCAGAAAAGCTCCATTTCTCTTTGTTCCATTACAAGATAATAAATTAGTTACTGCACTCTAAAGATGGCCTCTTCTGTTCATTAAAAATAAGGTTTGTGTTTCCCTGTTCACATTAATAAAATATGAATTTAAGATGGTGATAAAATCAAGATTCAGACTTTCTAAACTCAAGGAAATTATTCCTAGACATTAAGTGATTTTTAAAAATTTAAACTGTTGTACAGTTCACTTACGTGTCCTTGTTAAGTACGTAGAAGTTAACTCCCAAAGTTTATTGGAATTTATGACAAACATATTTATTGTTCATTAGTGTTTTAGTGTAACAGTGTGCTTTATTTTTAGACTTGTAAAATGTATGAAATCTTACTAGTGAATGGACATGTATAAAAAAATAGAATTTCAAATGGATATGTGAAGGATACCCAAAATACAGTTATCTCTTGTTACTTCTGTATGTGATTGTATAAGCATGTGACTGTATTTTAACATTGTTTGGTTTGAAAACTAATATAGATATACTTGATTCTAAATGATAAGTATGAATTATATTGAATAGCTCAGAAACTGTGTTCCTTATTTAATATAACGAATTCCACTTGTTCATAATTTAAACATCTAGCTGCTTAGCTTCGATTCAAGTCTGAATTTGTGCATTTTTCTGATCATCACTGTGTGCTCAAAATTACTATAGTATTCTGGCTCTAACATATTTTTAAAAATCTGAATAGCCTTAAGTGGGATAAGCTCACTGACTATTACTTATGTTGAATATACAACTTGTCTTGAAGGATATTTAAATATTTAGAGATCATGCTTGTGTTACTATCACGTTCATACATCTATTTTCCTGTATAATTACGTCCAAATGTGGAAGAACTTTGTGCTGTGGTGACCCGTCTCTGCTTGTCTGTGTCCTCTTCAAGTCCCTCACCTTTATAGTGGCTCTTACTGTATTTCTGCACATCATCCTGTTAGATGGATGGGAAGTACTTAACTGGATTTGTGTTTTATAGTTGAAGTTATGGAAATGGTTTTTCATTTCTATTTAGATATTTAAGTCACCTATCAAATAACACATTTGTAAGTCTAAGCCTCATGTACCTATTTGAAATCAGATTTTACAAAAATATTTACAGGTTCATTTGTTACTTTTTATCATTTCTTCAAATATGTCATGTTTACATTAAAAAATTCCTAGAGAACCAAAAAAAAGTTGCCTTCTGCCTTGTCATTTCTGGTAGGAGTTTTGGGGAGATGTTTTATTACATATCCATTAATAAAATTGTTCTAAGAAAATTCCTCTTATCTGTGGCCATTATATAATGTGAGTTAATAATTGGGTTTTTGATACATTGTGATAATTTTATTACTGTTATAAGCTTTTGCAGTTCATGTCTCAGGTATCAGAGCACATACTAAGGAACCCACCTGAATTCTTGTTGTTTACAGAAATGCGGATTCAAGGGATTTGGGCTGCATCTTACAGTCCTGGTTTTGAAAGCTCACGTCAATCTGACAAACCCTCACCAGTTATTTATCCCCTCATGTGATGAGTTATTTATTCTGTCTTCTTATTAGGTGGACTTTTTTAAAATCCATAACCCTTACTGAATTCTAGCCATGTTGGGAAGTGATGTTCAAAAATCAGAATTTTTTTAAGAAGAAAGAAAAATAAAACCATCCTGGAGAAAAAGTTCATGGAGATAGATTCCCATACTTCATTCCCTATTCCTGTCTCTTCACAGTGAATTTTCTTTCCCACTGCAGACTTACTGTGCATGTTCAATAACTGAGTTCCTTTGTACTTTTGAAAGAAAAGTTTATCACCTCAATGGATTTCCTTGGTTTGCA